AGGATGACCACATATCACTTTACTGTTTGTATCTTATATTACGATGACCACATATCACTTTACTGTTTGTATCTTATATTAGGATGACCACATATCACTATGCATTACTCTCTCATGTATGTGTTTCTAATTGTTGATTTATCTGCTTCCAGCTCCCCATCCTCAAGGCTAAATTTCTAACTTATTGTGGTCTATTTGTTTGTGGATCATGCTGTATTTTGTTTGGGTAAGTGACTTTGTTACTTTTTGCTGTTCAGGTAACTCAAAAAGGGAATATATCGAAACATTTATTATAGTTTTTTACTAACATCTAATCGTTTTAACACTCTGTGATTGAGCTCATATCTCGTTTTAACACTCTGTGATTGAGTTCATATCTCAGCAGAAATACATGTTTAAATTTCGATTTCAAATAATATTTGCTAACCAGACCATCTAAGCGATCAGGAACTGTCCTGTTGTGTACCACGAGTGAAGTCAGACACAGGTTGGGAACTGTCCTGTTGTGTACCACGAGTGAAGTCGGACACAGATTGGGAACTATCCTGTTGTGTACTACGAGTGAAGTCGGACACAGATTGGGAACTGTCCTGGTGTGTACCACGAGTGAAATCAGACACAGATTGGGAAATATCCTGTTGTGTACCACGAGTGAAGTCGGACACAGATTGGGAACTTTCCTGTTGTGTACCACGAGTGAAGTCAGACACAGGTTGGGAACTGTCCTGTTGTGTACCACGAGTGAAATCAGACACAGATTGGGAACTGTCCTGTTGTGTACCACGAGTGAAGTCGGACACAGATTGGGAACTGTCCTGTTGTGTACCACGAGTGAAGTCAGACACAGGTTGGGAACTGTCCTGTTGTGTACCACGAGTGAAATCAGACACAGATTGGGAACTGTCCTGTTGTGTACCACGAGTGAAGTCACATACAAATTGGGAACTGTCCTGTTGTGTACCACGAGTGAAGTCGGACACAGATTGGGAACTGTCCTGTTGTGTACCACGAGTGAAGTCAGACACAGGTTGGGAACTGTCCTGTTGTGTACCACGAGTGAAATCAGACACAGAGTTGGGAACTGT